TTTTTGATTTATTGTAGAGATGAGGTCTTGCCAAGTTGCCCAGGCGGATCTCAAACCCTCAGGCTCAGGCAATCCACTCACCTCAGCCTCCCAAGGTGCAGGATTACAGGCTGAGCCACCGAGTCCGGCTGAGCCTGGCTAATTTTTTATTTTGAATTGGAGTCTCACTCGGTCACCCAGACTGGAGTGCAGTGGCCGCTCCCAGCCACCACAGCCTCTCCTGCTGGGCTTTGGCGATCCTTCCACCTCAGCCTTCTGAGTAGCTGGAATTACAGGCATGCGCTATCACGCCCGGCTGCTTTTTTAAAAATTTATTGTAGAGATGAGGTCTCGCCAAGTTGCTCAGGCGGGTCTCGAACCCGCAGGCTCAGGCAATCCACTCACCTCAGCCTCCCAAAGGCGCGGGATTACAGGCTGAGCCACCGAGCCGGGCAAATCCTGCTTTCTAAAAAAAACAAAAACAAAAACAAAAAACCCTTGCCCTTTGGAGGAAAGAAAAGAAGTATAGTGTGTCTGGAGTCGAAAGTGTCAGGAAGAGGCTGGAGAGGCCCTGGAGACTAGACTGTGGAGGGCAGTTAAGCCACAATGGGGACCCTGCACCTACTCCTAAAACAGCAGGAGGCCCCTGAAGAGTTATAGGTAGGTGTGGGACACTGGCAGATTTGTATTTTGAATATTTTGCTGTGGCTGCAGAGAATAGATGAAGGAAGGAGGGGCAAGACTGTTGGCTTAGAGACGCTTAGGAGGTTGTGGCAGTCATCCAGGCTAGGATTAAGGAGAGTCCATGGGAATATTTGGACCTTGGTGATCCATCAGTTGTAGGGCATGGCGGGGAGCATCAAGGGTGACTCTCCTGTTTCTGACCTGGGTGACTGGTACCACTGACAGAGCAGGTCTGGGAAGAAGACGAGTTTAGATTAGGGCAGTTTAAGATGCTCATGGGACTCCTTTCCACCCTTTGGCCTTACCAGAACCTGGTACTTTTCTGGGGCCTCAGATTCCTTAGTCTTCTCAAGGGAAGGCTATTTTTTCTCTCAATGTAGATCTTAGAGCCAGCAGGTTTAGCATATTCACCTTGTTCCCATTGCTTCCCAGTCTTTTCTCCTTTTCCTTCCCTTAGCTCTTTTGAGGTTGATCTCATCCAGTTGTAGCCCTTGTTACTCTCCTTTATTGCTATTATCTGCAGACCCATTCACCAATGACCTTGGCTCCTGGTTCACAGCCTCTCTCTTCATTCTACTCCAGCCCTTGTCCTCAGGGACCGAATTACCCATATGAATGACCCATTCAGTACCCCTCCCTGCCTGTCACTGGCTTGAGTCCCTCTCCTCTCCTTCCCACCAGCAAGCCTGTCCCATGCTCCCATACAACGATCTCTCTACCCAAAACCACACCACATTCCAGTTCTCAGTTTCAAGTCAACCACCCTGACCATCACTTCTTATCCTTCTGGCTCATCACTTGCTTTAGTGTCCATACCACACAGGTCTTCAACCTCATCAAGACCCTATTATTTGCACCATTTTTCTACTATCCATTGTCTCCCTGTTTTTGCTTTCTTCTCTTCCTAGCTTAGAGAATAACCCATTACTACAATCTCTCTCTCGCCTGTCTCCATCTCTCTCCATTTTACTTGCCTGACTAACCCTCAAACCTGAATGAACTCAACTATCAGTTATGACTGCATCTGAGCAACTGAACATTACTGGAAAAAAAACAAAAAGCCTCAACTGGACCCACAGGTTGCACTTCAGTTCATGACCACAAACCTCAAATAAGCACTCAGTACTGAGACCTCCTCTTCCTCACCTTATACTCAGCTGTCAGCACTGCTCCATCAAAATCCTCTGTCAAGGTCAACAACAACTTCTCAGTTTCAAAATTCAGTGAACGCTTCTCGGCTCTCATCTTTACCTCTCAGCAGCATGTGGCTGTTGACCATTTTTTCCTCCTGGGAATATTTTCTTATCTTGGCTGTTGTGACATCACACACTGGTTTTTCTCTGTCTTTTCTTTCTCTGCTTCCATTGTTGGCTACTTATCCTCCATCTGACCTCCAAATGTCTGGGTGCTTCAGGATTCATTTTTAGGCTTTAAAAAAATCTCATTACACACTCTCCCTAGAAAACCTAATGCTGACCTCTTCAAATTTATATCTACAGCTTTGGCCTCTTCTCTGAGCTCCAGTCTTATGTAAGCATATGCTAATTTGACATCTCTACTTAGAAGTTTACTGAACAGCTAAAATACAACTCATCCAAAATAGATCTGTTGATCTCCCCCCAAAACCTATTCCCTTACCCATTTTGAGCTCAAACTAGTTATTCTAGAAGCCATAAACCTAGGAATCACCCTTGATTCTTCCCTTTCATCTTCACCCACATTTAATCTATCTCCAAGCCCTTTCACTTTCAAAATGTGTCACAAATCCATTCCCACTCTCCTCTTCCAATGCTCCTTTTATCATCCCTGCCCCCATTCTGGTTCAAGCCATCAGTAACTTTTGCTTTGTTCACAATAGCCTTCTGACTGATCTTTCAGCAATCTCTTCTCTTTCCCATAAATACCAGAGTGAACTTTAAAAGACCACTACCTCCCAAGGCTTCCATTGCAGCTAAAATAAATTGCAAACTCTTTGGTATGATCAACAGAGCCCCTTGTGAGATGACCCCTGCCTGTCTCTCCAACCTCTACTCATAACCCTTTTTTCATCAGACTCTAGGGGAGCCAACCTCCTTTCTAGTGTTTGGACAAATTGAGTTCTTTCACACCCGCAGGCCTAGGAATGGCCATTACCTCTGCCTGGAATGCTCTTCCCTAGAATCTTCAAATGGCATCTCCTGTTTATAATATCAGTCCAAATAAAATTTCTTCAAAGGCCTTCCCTGACTACCTTATCTAGAATACACCCTTTCCCTCAGTTATTCCCTCACCTTACTCATTTCTATCACATTAGTTACCACTGTCTCACTCCGTCATCCAGGCTGGAGTGCCGTGGCACACTCATGGCCACCCCAGTGTTCACCTGGGGTCTCTACAATAAATTAAAAAATTAGCCAGGTGTGGTGGCACACGCCTGTAGTTCCAGCTACTTGGAAGGCTGAGGTGGAAGGATCGCCTAAGCCCAGCAGGTCTAGGCTGCGGTGGCTGTGAGCAGCATGCCACTGCACTCTAGCCTGGGTGACAGAGTGAAACTCTATAACACACACACACACAAAAGGAAAAATACATGCTATTATTTATATATATGTATATGTATATAGGCACCTTTCTTTCTTTCTTTATTTTATTTTATTATTATTTTTTTAGTTGAAGTCTTACTCTGTCGGCCAGACTGGAGTGCAGTGGCTGCTCCTGGCCACCGCAGCCTCGACCTGCTGGGCTCCGGTGATCCTTCTGCCTCAGCCTTCTGAGTAGCTGGAATTACAGGCGTGGGATACCATGCCCGGCTGATTTTTTGATTTATTGTAGAGATGAGGTCTCGCCAAGTTGCCCAGGCGGGTCTCGAACCCGCGGGCTCAGGCAATCCACTCACCTCAGCCTCCCAAAAGCGCAGGATTACAGGCTGAGCCACCAAGCCCGGCTCTTTATCTTTTATTTTATTTTTTAAATAAATAAATAAGTGAATAAATAAAGGTACATATACACACACATATATAAATAAAAGCATGTATTTTTTCCTTTTGTGTGTGTGTGTGTTAGAGTTTTACTCAGGCTCAGGCAATCTACTCGTCTCAGTCTCCCAAAGTGCTGGGGTTACACGCGGAGCCACTGAGTCCGGCCTATTTTTGTTATCATTATTTTTTTTGAAGGGAGGGCTCGCTCTCTTTCAGGGTGGCCTCAAATTCCAGGGCTCAAGCACTCCTGCAGCCTCAGCCTGGCAAGTGTCTGGGATTACAGGAGCGCGCCACTGTGCAAGAACTTGGGATAATAGCCTGAGTCGTATACTTCAGATTTTGCTAATCTCACCTCACTTTAGTTATGGAGAGTATTGTTAACAATTTGTTTAAACATTTCGCATTGTGAGATGCAGCACATTGTGCTTATTTCAAGACTCTTTTTGTGCATTCTTTAGGTAAATTGATTTAGCATCTATTAAGTCTTGGTTTTTGGTGGTTGTTTAAAATGGGGCTCACCAGTACTAAGTTAGGCTTTCTGACAACGACGAATTCGCACACCATGTGTGCAGTGATAGACGGCTTTTGGGTGCTCGCCAATAATTGGCCATGTACCACTTCTTTCGGCCCCTTGGCTTTCACACCACCTGCTTCCAGCCGGAGGACGCAACCTGACCCTCCGCGACCTCTTTGTCATGGCGCCCTCGGAGCGTCTACCAACTGAAACTTCGGCAGCAGCCGGGGCGTCGACCTTCCCAAGATGGCGGCGGGCCGGGAGGCCTGCGCTTAGGGGGCGGGGTTCCGCCGCCGGGGGCGGGGCAGGGAGGCAGAGAAGTCGGGCTAGCGGGCGGGCTGCTTCCGAAGTCGGCAGTCTCAGCGCGCCTGCGCGGAGCGGCCCTGCGCCGAGTGAGGCAGTGGCGGGGGAAGGCACCGGTGGGGCCGACCGGCGGGTTGAAGGAGGGAAGCGGGCGAGCGAAGTCCCAGTGCGCGCCGCGCGCGGCTGCCCGGTACCCTCCCCTTCCGGGCGTGAGTCGCTGTGAGAAGAGCTGAACCGAGCGGACTCGCACCGGCAGCGAGGCGCCGCTACCGCCGCCCCAGCCCGGCCTCCCTCGGCTTCGGCGCTCCGGTTGCGGGGCCCGCGTTCCTCAGCACACCCAGTTCCAGCCGCCCCCAGAGCCTGTCCCAGCCCTTCGGAAGCCCCGGCGCCAGCCTGGGCCCTTGGCGGGGAGGATGACGGAGCTGCAGTCGGCGCTGCTACTGCGAAGACAGCTGGCAGGTGAGCGGGCGGGCGCCGGGGCCCCGGGCCCGGCCGCGATCGCGGGCAGCCGCTGCCTGGTGCCTCCTCCGGGCCGGGGGCCGTGCGGCCGAAGGGGACCGGGCCTGCGAGGGCAGGGGCCTC